TTTTTTTTTTGTCATAATTCAGACTATACAGTCCAAAATATGGAATTTACATTATTGATCGCTAGATTTTTGTCCTACAATTCACTTATGATCTTTATAATAAATATTAAATATACCCTATTACCAATAAATCAATACCAAATTCTTCTGAAGATTAACAAGAATTAATGGGGTAAGAATACCAAAAATAAAAATAAAAATAAAAGGCTTACCCCGCAGCCAGTATCAAGGGCAGTTCTAATGGATCCATCTTTAAGATTAATTAACTTGTCAATATCATCAATATATGCATCAGCACCATTAGGGAACATGGTACCCCCGCCGGGGAATCTGAAGCGGTCACCTTCATATCTAATCCAATTTTGAACCGCCTTCTCCACTGTCAACTCCTTGTGTGGTACATTAGCGTACCACGCCAGATCCCGGCTGAGCGGCCACTTGAACGGGTTTTTGTACCCGTGGGGCGCCGGAACTCGGCACTTGAGAAGTTCATTCTTCTCCGGGCAATGCCTTTCTCTGTATATCAACCTGTCCCTCTCAAATTTCAGTGACCTTTTGGGGTCCTCACATGGGGTGTACTCGCTGTACTTGATATCACATGGTGGGTATTTCTTCACGGTTTCTTCAGCAAAGGTGGTGGCTCCGCCGTCGTCGGTGAAATGGTGGCTGGCGAAGTCTAGTTGTGTACCGGTGGAGGACGATGCTTTTGATGATGATGAGTACTGTGTTTTTACAGTGGTTGTGTTTTTGGAAAAAATACAAGAGGTGGCTGTACGGAGGCCGGAGGTGGTGGCGCCAGTGCCGTGCTGCCAAACACCATAAAGATAGGACAGAGAGCAAAGGATTGTTACAAAAGCAAATGAGTAGATTTTGGGTTTTCTCCAATAAGTGGTGGCGTTGGCCGTGGGTTTAGACAGTGGCGTATAGTATGGTGGACTTGGACCTCCCATTGTTACTCAAAACCTTCTCTTTCAATCTCTCCAGAGAAATCAAGAATGCATGTGCAAGTTTATAGCAAACTTATTGACGTATGTATTTATGCAAATGGCGTTGGGGTTGGGGTTGGGGTTGGCGTTGGGAGGTGTTCCTAGTTTGAGATTTAGGAGTGTTGAGTGAAATCAGGTGGGGGGTTAATTGTTAGAGATTTGAGAAGGGGTTGGAGTGGGGTAGGTTAAGAACCAAGTGGATGTGTGTTGTAATAAAGATTGATCCATCTAAGTATCGATTGGTTTCTTGATTCATTGTCTTAGAACTGTGATATATTTTAATACATTAAAGGGGTGTTT